CTGAGCCAGAATGTAATTTCTAAAAATGTCAACAGACTGACAGGCCACAGGCAGGGAAATAAGAAACATAGCCTTTAAGCAGCTGCTTCTTGTCTTACACATTGAACTCTCATTTTTTGATTTATCTCTGGCTTTAGTATGGTGGTGGAAATGGCTCAGAAAATCTAAGCTGGCCTAATCTATGAACCACATTTCTCTTCAAATAATAACTTAGGCTAGATGTTCTTCAGAGGCTTCTAGAGAGAGAACTCCAGTCTTCATTTCTTTGCCCTAAAAGTTTATCTCCCACTGATAACCTACCTCCACCAGTGACTGCCAGATGATACTTTCAATCCATCATTCTCAGTTCCAATCCTAACTTACCAGTGGTATTGCAACATCCTCGTAAGGCAGCTTGTCTTCTCGCCAAGCATCATCAATCAAATCCAAGATCCTTCCATCTCTCTGTACCTCACTGTCCATTTTCCTGCAGCTTTGATTTTGTCAGATCTGGGTGTCAAAGAAGTTATTTAAATGTGAAGACTGAGCCAGTGTAATCCAGTACTAGAATTTCCCAGCCTTTTTATCCTGGAGTTACTTTTTGGTACAGTATCATCCCAGGAAAGGCTTTTTGTTTTTTGTAGAGACAGAGTCTCACTTTGTCACCCACAGTAGAGTGCCATGCAGTCACAGCTCACAGCAACCTCCAACTCCTGGGCTTAGGCAATTCTTTTGCCTCAGCCTCCAGAGTAGCTGGGACTACAGGCGCCCACTACAATGCTTGGCTATTTTTTTGTTGCAGTTTGGCTGGGGCCGGGTTTGAACCTGCCACCCTCGGTATATGGGGCTGGCACCCTACCCACGGAGCCGCAGGCACCACCCAGGGCTCATTTTCTCATATGGGGCAGGTGACAACTTTTCTTTTTTTTTAATGTTGTTGATAAACTATAAACAATTCAAGAAACAATGAAACTCAGCTGTGTTATACAGGCTTGTTTGTCCTAAGTAGTATAACTATAAGATACATTTAATACTTGGGTAATAACTATACCCAGATTGGGGTGGGGAAGAGTTTTAGCCCCATGATAAAGAATCAGGCACAAGTGAAGAAAAAGGTACCCAGCTACGTCTGTCACCAGTGAACCAGGTGAGATCTTAATGCTTCAGTCAAGAATCAATCCAGTACTACACAAGGGATAAAATAACTCTAAACAAGTTGAAAGATCTTGTCTTTAGGAGAATCCTCAGTTCCAGCCATAGTTTTTAACCCCTGCCCTACAAGAGCGCTTTCTTCTGCTGTTGCTCTTTGTCCTTGCTGCTGTCCCCTAGGATACCCTTCTCACTTTTCTCTGTTGATCCCAACCTGCTGATTTTTCCAGGCCCACCTAAGATTCCACCCTTTTGTAAAGTTTCCTCAAATTACTCCAGCTTCATCAGAGCTTCTGTCCCTAAACACCTGCTTTTGGCCCTAACTCGATCCACTAAACAAGTTAGGCCAGCTGTGTGACTGACTGCTTAGGAATTACTGCCTCTATTGTCATGTCTAAATTTTGTACTGATGATTCCTTAGCAGATTGAATTTGGCTTCAATCTTTTTCACCTGTCCCGAACACTTCCAACCCTGTGTCATTCTCCAGCCTTTGCACTAAGGCGCCCCTTTTTCTCATCATTAATGCCTCTCAAACTCAACACAGGCATCCATTCTTCAAGGTCAAGACCCCATTACCAGGGTAAAGCGCTAAGGTGCATTCAAGACAGGGCAGGATACGGCTACTGTTCCAAGCACCTGCCGCACAGTATGACCAGTTTCCTAAACAAACTTTTATTATACATGCCATAGTCTCAGTGCCTGGGATGCTCTTTTCTGTTCCTTTTTTGCCCAGCGAGCCCACAGTCAGTCTATAAATCTTAGCGCCTTGATGGCCGCCTTTGGAGGACTCCCTCTAACCCAGGCTGAGCTCGGCACAGGTACCCACCCCTCCCTGGGTCCTGCAGGTCCCTGGGCGCAGTACACGGCACCGAGGAGCGTGTCATAGTGCCTGCGTTCCCCGGGACAGGGACACGTTTTGTCTTTCTCTGTTATTTTGCAGATTTGTAAACGTATATTTATGTGACAGGGGTAGAAATGACCCTCGCAGGCCACCACCGTCCGTACCAGCGTGACGCCAGCCTCCCAACCGCGGCTTCCGGCCTGAAGCCAGACGTGCCAAACGTGGAAGCGAAGGGGGAGGCAGGGTCCCAGGGGCGCCACGCAAGTCCCTTTCCATCCGTAACAGCATGCAGTAGGGAAATGATTACGAGCAGGCCAGAAGCAGTAGGAAGTGCGACCCTGAGGACCTAACGCGTTCCTACCCCTCAAAGACCGAGGCCGGGGGCGCTAGCGACCCTTACCAGCGCCGGCCCACTGCAGCACACGCGTCCACCGGACCGCCGCCTCGCAACACGTCACCCGCACGCTCATCTCCGAGATCCCCGGATGTGAGTGAGCTCATTGCGGACCCGAGGGGAAGGCGGGAGAAGACTGTGCTTCCGTACAAGGGAGCGGGGCGGTGGGCGGGTCGAACGTATGGACGGCGGAGGCTGGCGCTAGGTTGGCGGTGATGCGCGTGCGCGGCCCGGGCCCCAGGTAACGGCGGGAAGGCTCGGGGAGCGCTCGCGGCCGTCCTGTAACGGCCGTGCGCGTGTAGGACGGGCCACGGCTGGGCAGGTCCTGGTCCGGACGCGGTGCTGGCCGCCGTGGTGCCGCTGGCCTCGCGGCCGCATGGCCTACGGCTGGTTCCCGCGGCTGCCCGGCGGGCAGCAGGCCCGTTCCCGCCGGCCTGGGTCATCTCGGGCTCCCCGCCCCTCGACCTCGCCACCCACTTTGTGCCGACCGGCGCAGGCAGGCATGGCCCCGTCCGGTGCGCGATTCGGCTTTGTCAGGTGGTCAGCTCTCTCTCCCAGGCCGGGCAGGTGGGAGGGCGACGGGGAGGGTGACGGGGTGGGCGAGCTGCGGCCGAGGTCTCGTCGTACTCCGCGCATCCAGCCTGCGGGCCAGTCTCCCTGCCCGGTGGAGGGACCCCAAGCGCAGCCTCCCTGCCGAGGCTGCTGTGTCTAGTTAGAATTGTTGCGACTTACTTCATGCAGGTGATACAGGCTCTTTTCTAGTGGGATGTTAAGGTTAGCAACATTTAAAGAGTGAGTTGGTTTCGTTCATACTACTAGAGAAGGAATAGAAATGTGGCAAAGATCGTGAAGGACCAAAATTGGGGAACCCTGAATTCTCCATGCGGACGAGTCAGGGATGGAAATAAATAGTAGTGAGATTTTAAAAGGATAGTTTCTCAAGAACCCTTTACTCACGAAGCTACCTGAAGACAGTTTAGGCACATTATGTAGTTTTTCTTAGACTATCAGGAGAGAGTAAAGGTAGAGTCTGACGTCGGAGATTAGTCTTCATTTACAGTTGCAGGGCACTACACAAAGTAGTTTTCCCCGAGCCTTATACACGACTCCTTAAACCGATTTAAATAAAAAAAAAATTATTCCTTTAATAAACAAGCATTGTAGGGTAGATGCCTTTTGCTTATACAGTTCCTCACTTGCTTGCATTTTTAATTTTATGTGAAGAGGAAATCATGAGAATAGTTGGTTACACATTACCTTCAAATATTTACCTTTCTACTTAATAGTTGTAGCTTAATGGTAATCTGTATTAGTGTGTATACTTTTATTTGGAGTGCAGTACCATCTTTTTTTTTTTTTTGAGACGGAGCCTCAAGCTATCCCCCTGGGTAGAGTGCCATGGGATCACAGCTCACAGCTACCTCCAACTCCTGGGCTCAAGCGAGTCTCCTGCCTCCGCCTCCCAAGTAGCTGGGACGACAGGCGCCTGCCAGAACGCCTGGCTATTTTTTGGTTGCAGCCATCATTGTTGTTTGGTGGGCCCGGGCTGGGGATTCGAACCCGCCACCTTGGGTGTATGTGGCTGG